TGGTTGGGTGTACCAATTCCCGTGCTCCTGTGGTGCGGTTTACATAGGCGAAACGGGTAACACGGTTGAACAAAGGAAGACAGACCACAAGAGGAATTTGATCAGGTGGAAGAATTTTCATGTAACAGCAAAGAACTAAAGGATACAGCAACTTTCCCTTATATCGCAAAATTAGTAATGCAAATTCTTACATCCCGGCGCCATTTTGTGGTTATTCTATATTCTACAGAGATGAGCAATAACATCGCTAGTAGGATAGTTTCACAATGGACATTATTCCTTCACTTTCGTCAAGATATTTTTACAGTTTGAGTGATAGTGGATAACTGGTAGCAGAATGGTTGAACTGCGCGCCGCTGCGCTTGCTTTGACACAATGAGGGCAAAGGGACGGAACTACTTAAAGAATGATTCAAATCTTTACCGGGCACAGGTGACTTTGGTAGATGTTAAGATTAGGAAAAGGAGGTTGACCCTGTTAGAGAAACTGCTTAAGTACGTCATTTACTCCAGTACGTGAGCTTCTCATGTGGGATCAAAGCACCACAGATGTTGACAGAAAGACCAGCATTCAACCTGGAAGAAAAAGATAGAGATAGATGTATTTTTGGTGAGGAATATTTGCTGCTGCGACGCAGTAACCGAAAATGTGTTGGAAAGCTGCGGATACAGGGACATCACAAATCAGAGACGTTCGGCTCATGTAAATGACTGAAGGAGAATATCTGAACGACCAAGACAACAATTTCTTCCTTACCAGAAAATCTGAAGAGTGACCATTGTGGTTTTATTGACCATATAGCAAGCACAACCTCTATCATTAACGTGATGGCCGAAACGACATCGTTGCAATTGAATTGATTAGCAGCTATGAACAGATCATTCATGTCATCAACACAGACGAAACACGATATATTAGTACATTAGCGTAACGAAAGCCAAAACACTGAACGTGAACATTAGGATAATATCAACCGACAAGTAAGGAAATAGAGATAAACTTTTCGCCATCGCCATCATTGGCCATTCTTTATGCCTGACGATCTTTTCTATGTTGTACAGAAACTCCTCCC